CGCGCGTACGTGGAACCCTCGCGTGAGAAAAGAGACAGTCACTTAATTATCTGCGGATTGTTAGAGACTTGTTTTAAAAATGTAACACTAGTATAGGAAATTAATTGATAACGGTTTTTTGCATTTCGTTATAATTTTTCTTATGTTGAGATTTCATAATTTTTTACTAGTGGAACTTTTTGTTTTGTATATTTTTGTATAATTTGTCTGATTTATAAAATGTAACCATTTTTCTTATTTAAATGTTATTTTATTTTGAGAGTATATAAATTTTTATATGACCCATTCATGTTTTTTAATTGATAAATTTGTTTTGTGTTTTATTGACTTAAGCAAATAAAAGCTAACAAATGGCGAAAAAGTGTTGAACGATGGCAAGTTTTTAGTTCTGATGAAATGGACTTTCTTGTTAATGATTTGGAATGTTTAGTGGGATTTCCTAGAGGTTTGAAAAACAAGGAAGCATTTGATAGGAGCTTTCAGGTTCTTTAATAATAGTTCTGGTAAAGTAAACTTTAATTTTTATGTAACTTGATGGGAACAACAAATTGAGGAGGAGTATTTAGGATCAAGGTAGACTGTGAGCTGCAGTCTCTCTTTAGCTCAAAAATCTGTGAGCAAATGGTAAGCAAGTGCGATATGTGAGTATGCAAGTGGTGAAGAGAGAAGGCTTCCAGTGAACCGTCAAGGAGACATTGAGAAGTATTTCTGGAATCAAGTAAACTTGGCAAAATTAAAATTTGGGAAACAAGGGGGGAGGGTTTGTGGGGCATTTCTAAGTTGCCCCTAAACTAAAAGAATTTGTTCCCATTTTAATGTACGTAAAACCATGCCTTGGATGCCAGTTTTTACGTCATTATTTTATCATCTATCATTTTACGTGACCATGAGCATGGAAAACAAGTTTTATTTCACAACTTTGTTGCTCATGGCTTTGGCCTTTGTGCCAAGACATATCAGCTGTGACAGACCCCAAAAGCATCTCGTTGCAAACATCACACAAGAAACAACCTTTGGTACCCAAGGAAATAAACCAATTTTCAAAAGAAAGGTTTTTCACATGGCCTTATTTTGAAAGTGAAGGTTTTGAAAACACCGACAAATGGCTCAGTGTTGTACTATTTGAGTTAAGGTTGTACAGGGGAGGTTGCTAACCACAAAAGAAGCATAACATTACACAAGCTGATTGCCAAGTGTGGCTCATCTTACCAAGTGCAACCATAACTCATACTGTATCTACACGCTCAGGCGTTTACCATTATATTGTTTGACAACATAAAAGAGAAACTTTACTAACATTTTTCATTCATATTTATTGCATTTCCTCTACCTTATTTAGTAGTTACACTACCTTGACATGAATTGGGTATAACATGTTTCCAAATACATTACAATTTACTGTAATCCAATCGGAAAGAATGTTTTTTATGGAGTTTTAGTCCACAAAGCTCAGTCTTTCCTGAAGAGTACAACAACTGCATTGAAAGATCAGAGACTTCATTAAAAACATAACTTTGCAGTAGGTCTTTCTCTACTTTTTCTTTGTAATTTTGAAGTTTGAGTTTTCATATGGTATCCCAGCTATAAACTTTCACTGCACTGCTTGAATATTCTTGGTCACCTAAAGGAGTGGAAAAAAACATATGTATGAAGGTGAATACAATACCCAGATAGGTACCAACCAGTCTTTGAACAACTGGACCCAGAGCTATGTGATCAGGTCATGAAAAATTCTGACTGACCTCTTCAAACTTGTGAATCTGGCGAATGAAGAAATCTCCATACCGCCGCTCAACCTTGGTGTCGGCAATGTGAATCATGTCCTGAAATTAAGCAACTCATCATTGAGTGTTTTATTATAATTTGTTATTATAATTATTTGATACTAATCAAAACTTAGTATTTTTTAATGGGAAGGAATTGTAAAAAAGTGTTTTGACGGAATAGTATTTTTCAAGTGAAACAATTATTGTAAATAGGATTTTTTGAAATAGCTAGCATTGATATCAATAAAATTATTATTATTATTTTATTAATTTACTTTTCATCAAGGGCACTTAATGCAGCCAACATTAGGGTTACACAATAATGATGGCAAATAATAATTCATTGGGCCATATCTCTTGAAACAATTAACTTCAAATTAAATATTGCAGTCATTTTAAGTTTGGACCTGCATGGCAGGCACCCAAGATGAAAGGGGAAGAGGAATTTAGGTTTGTGAGAATACAAGGGGTGTGCAAGAGAGGAAGAAGAAACTGAGCATAAAAGACCTGCCAAACAATAACTGTTGCAGGCATTTCCTTCCAAACTTCCTTGTTCACCGGATTTCTCCATTCTCATTTTAATAAGTTCATGACACCCAGAGTGTTGTGATCCAACCCTCTTGAAAGTTCTTTATCCTACCTGTGGTGCTTACCATTTGACAGAAAATTTTGTAAATTCCGAATGGAAGGTAAATGGTGAGGTCACTTGTTGGAAGTACCAACCAAAGTCCATTCATTCCGGTTGGAAAAAACCAAACGGAAATGTTGCTTGGACCCTTTAACCAACTTCTTGGTTCCTTCTCAGTTCCAGATTCATGCTACACAAATTCACCCCTTTTTGGATTCAAACTGTAACGGATGAGGCAATTCTGCAGTTAACTGGTAAATCGCTTACTATTATGCTTTTGACACCCCAAGTGGATTTTTCTGTCAAATGGTAAGCACCCTAGGGTTATACAGTAATGTTTAATAAATAACATAATTATACAATCACTTTTTACCTGATCAATATAGAAGTCTACCTCAGAGGACGACTGAAGTTCTCCTTCAAGGGCATCAGTTCCTTTGGTCCAGACAAGGTTTCTCTGTTTGTGCTGTGAAAAAATTAGAAATATTAGATTCTGCCTACAGCTACAGTACACAACAGGGCCCAGTTGTTCGAATGCAGGTTAGCGCTAACTTAACCCAGGATTCTGTATCTTTTTATCAAAAGCACTCTCTTGGATAATTTTCTCTATCATTTTTAGAGTATCCAATCATCAAATTGTAGGCAAAGAGAATTAAAGTGAATTTGCTTTTTAAGCTCTCATATCTGAGTTCAAATTTTGGACTAACCCTGGGTTATCTTAACCCAGCTTCAAACAATCCGGCCCAGGGATTGAAATCACATTTGCTGTGCCCTTTACTTTGCCATTTACACTGGTCTAACCATGGCAAACAACACTTACCTTAAAACAGAGAAGTTGAGTCCTGAATTGGTTCTCATCCTGAAAGAAAAGCAAAAGTAGTGTAAAAGAATATAAACACATGAAATAAAGCCACAAAGTAGAACTGTTTTGCTCAGAGTTGACCCTACATGTTTATCCTAGTTTTACTGGCTATCTGGTTGGCCAGAGCAGCATTATTGGTGGCTAAACGACTGGTGTAGGATTGACAGTTTCTGTCACATCCGTGTGAAGTCACTAGTCTGCTTGCCAGCTCTTCATAAAGAATGTCTTTACCTATAACCAGATTAAAGAGGGGGTTTTGTGGTTTAACTAGATCTTTGACATTATTTATTAGATGCCCTCTCTTATTGTGAGTTCCCATGCCTCTAAACGTTTTCTAACTCACCATGTCTAGAAAAGCTGCTAGCTTGGCAATGGGCATTGTTGTGTACAGCTTCAAGTAACTGGGAATTAAAAAGGAAAACAATAATCAATAAATATTACTTAGATATATAGGCCAAATTGCTCTGACAAAGGGCTTTTAAGGGTGGGTTCCTTTGGGGTGATCCGAATCAGGATCAGTAATCCGAGATCACTCCGATCATAGTAGATCAAATGAACAGATGAATCCCTGTCCAAAGTGTTTGATCTAACATGATCCTGGTGATCGCAGATTACTGATCCTGATCAGGATCATCTCAAAGGAACACACCCTAAGTTCACTTACTATATCCCCCAAATAATTATGTAATCGTTGTATGTTACTCCCCCACCATCGCAGCAAAGAAGTTCCATTTGGAACAAACCACCTTCACTCACTGTGTAGGAGACTTAAGGGGGCTTATAGCTCTATACAAGTAAACTAGGTTTATCTGCATATTTATGCATGTTTTTCTAAAAGGAAACAACTGACTTCAGCGGATTATTAGATTATAAATGGAAAAATTAATAGTCCAGTTGAATGTGCACCTTCTAATGACTGGTATAAGAGATTGCTGTGAAACTTCATTCATGAAAACCTTCAGTTGCAGATTAAATGGTTCCTGAAAAAAAGGTAGTAAAAATTATAAACCGAATTATAAAAAAATATTGCAATCTAACTATGCAGGCTAGAATTTTGCTTAATTTAATGACACAGCTCCTCTTAGAGCTTACTTGTATCAACTTACCCTGTTAAAATTAGCAGGTGGTGCATCAAAATTTGGAGGAACAGGAGAGATGAACTTTGGACAAGAATAGGAAAATGATTCTTCAAACATCTGCATATCTCTGTGGAATAAAGTAACGCTAAATAAGAAATGAGTCTTAGGTTTAGGAAGAAGTGTGTGTTTGTTTTACAGAGCCATGATGTGCTACTGAGGTTCAAGTATGAGCAGAAATTAACAAGTGAATAAACGTACCCTCGCTGAAGCCTCTGTAACCTGTCACCTAACTTCTCACGAAGCTGTGAATGAACATTTTCGTCAATTCTCTGAAAGAAAAATTAACTTAATATTATTCTTCATGATATCAATTTACTAATTTTGTTTACCAAAATAACAAATAATCATTGTTGTCAGTACACACCAACATTATTATAACTACTGTAACAGAAACAAAAAATGAGTCAGAAAGGGTATTTATCTCTGCAGACTCTAGCCTGAGAAAACACTTGACATTTTGCAATAACACCACTTGGCAGAAGTTCCATACTGATGTTGTGTCACTACTTCTGGGTAGTGCTTCTGATTGGTTGAAGCAAATTTCTCTTAAGATATGACCAGTCAGAAGTACTACAGTGACCCAGACCTGGGTAGTGACACATCACTAGTATGAAGTTTCTGCAGCTGTTCCTCAGACATCATCTCACAGGGAAACTGGTAGGCTATTTTGAAATGTCTCCAGTTTTCTCAGCAGACTCATGTTTACCTATGTGTTAAGACAAAGTGTAAAAAAGAAAATAATGTCTCACACAGAATGAACAATCGCCTGACTTTGAATTTCTGGAACCACAGGCAAGTGCAAGATGGCATAATCGAAAGAGTACTTATGTCACTAACTAGCCCTAGGTAACCACCTCTCATACTTGAGAGGGGGAGAGGGGTTCTTTGAATTTTCGCAGAATGAAGGTGTGCCGCTAAGACCCTGGAACCCTTAATGCTTAGCCTTGTATATATACCAGACTGTGGTGCTCATTAAGCATCAGAGATCAGACAATTCTCCGTTTACTGCACAGAATTCTAACATTCGGTAGCCTATGACTACCTTTTATTCAGACATGGATCCTCTTTCAAAATATTCTCCTGTAAAGTTAAACCTGCCTCTTGCTACTAGAATTCTCAATGAAAACCTTGCTTTGGTCCATTTTAGGTCTTATACAATAATCTCTCCTCAAACAACATTTTTCCACGCATCATTAGTCACGAGCATTTTACAAAAGAGCAGACACTGAAGATAGAAATTAATCATGACATACCTGTGGACATAATGTCAGACAAATGGCCAACAGAGTATACATCTGGTCATTTTTCTTCATGATCTGACACAAAAAAATATGACTGATCACTGACGTGAACCCATCACATCAAAACTAAATTAATAATAATTTATTCATTCTTTATTCGTTTCAAAATATATATTTTTTAATTAATCATTTCTTTAGTATGAACACCAACAAGAATAATTTGATTAAAAATCAAGACACTAAATTTTGTTTGTGAGAGGAAAGGTGCAACTTTAGATTCTTTGTGGTGTGGTACTTATCACCTACATCATGCTAAAGGAAAAAGAGAGTGTTCTGTCCTTGACAATTCGGTCACAATTTGTAGCCAGGTCATCGATGATCTCATACTCAGGTTTAGTGGTGGCCTATAGCTACAAATGACCATACTAGTCTAAGAATATAATTGTGAACAATTCTCACAGCCTGTAATTCTCTACCTGTTCATATTGGTACGACTTGGTTTGGAACATGTTCTTGGTTCTTTGAATATACAACAGTATATTGGAGAAGCTGCGAATAGCATCCTGAAATTCAACAATGCAAAATAAATTTATGCATCTTAAAACTTTTGTATGACTGACCACTGTTGTCTTACATTAACAGCCATTAAAAATGACTGTTAATGGCAATGTTACTGTCACTTTATGGAATTGAAAGGTTTTATTAAGAACTATTAGTACTGTTTAAATCAGCGAATTTTTATTGACCTTAAGAAAGAAATGTAATGTGAATTTGTGTAAAGGGAATAACAGTGTTGTACATGTGTATACTCCAACAAGATGCAATTCATTTTCAAATGTTCCAGAGTAAGAGTATGCAGTCTGCTTTCACTTTTTCATACTAACCTGGTATCTTTTCATCATGAGATAAGCAAATCCCACATAGTAGTAGGTGGTGATCTGACAGGCAGGGACTCGAGAGTACAAACTCTGAAAGGAGAACAGTGAACATGAAATTAAGTCACAAGCAATGGGGTGGTACTGCAAATAGACTGCAAAACAGCCGTTTTTTCGATTATTTTTAGGACAAGGAGCTCCAGCGTCAGTCTCTGGTGGTTGGAGCAAGAGAAAAAAAATAAATGTCAGTTTTTGTATTTCTCTCCAGTCTTGCTCTTTTTTTTATCCCTGCACCTTTCATTTGACCGCTTGCACATTCTTAGCCTACGCAAGTATACAGACTGCTTTGCAGCCTATAAAGCAAGCAAGAAGTAACTAAATTGTAACACCACAATACTGTAAATCAGTTAATCAAAATGGCCGTATTGACAGTTACCAGGTGCATAAGTAACCCACCTTTTTATTAAGTTCTACATTCTCTAGAACTTTGATTGCTTGGAAGTAATCTCCAAGAAGTGAGTGTAGCCGTAACAGACCAATCAAACTGAAGTAACCCAGCATCTTGTAGAGAGGTTGAATTCCAAACTCGCCTGCCACTGTATCAGGATGACCACCTTGGTTGTATACCTCTAGCTACAAAAATTAAAGACACTTTATAACCACATTATATTTCTACTTTTGGTGGATTTTATACATGCATTGTAGATTTTCTAAAGGTTCCCCAGTGAGGTTGACAGCATTATGATGACATTAAGTTAACAAACAGATTTTACACAATGTAAAGTCTAGTTGTTTTGCTGTGGGTAAATCTCTTCTCATGTTAAAACAGGAATTCATTTTCCTCCTACGACATGAACACTTTATTTTACGTGGTAAATATGCTTAGCCATATGGCTAGTTTACTGATTAATCCACTAGTAAAGTTAAGGTAGACAATAAAATACAAAATTTTAAAAATAGTTAGGGCCATTAAACAAAAGAAATTCTGAATCAAACTGGGTTGTTTACTGCTTAAACCTGAGAACATAACTATTATACAACAGTCTCACTGCAAAGTGAAATGCCAAATTCCAGCAAAGATTTAGAAACACATGTACATATAGCATGCATGCAAGAGGGAGAGACAAGTTTTCAACCACTGTACCATTTCCATTGTCTACAACAGGGTTGTCACTAACGGCCGGGGGCCGGGGATTTCCCCCGGCTACTCAGAGCATGGCCCCCGGCTACTTTCGTCGTTAAATTAAACCAAAAGAGCACACCTTTCAAACACACAAAGACTACCCTTCAAACTAAATGCAAGGTTCATTTGCAGCAGGTTTAAGTAATTTTGAAATACTTGCGTGCAAAAACTAAGAAATGTCGGAAAAAGACATCTGACTTAGATTTGGTACTAGTACACACGTGCTAAAACTCTCCGTTCGCGAAATGTCAGTAGGGAGTTTTAGCAACGACGACGGCGACGGCAACGAGAACGTCAAAAAAGCAATAGGTTTATTGAGCAAAACAACTAGTTTGCACATGCATCACACTTTTTTGTACATTTCTTTGCCATTACTGCGCGACTACGACGTGAAAATGCCTGGTTTCACATTTTATGGAGGACGTAAACAAGCGATGACAAACTTTTCTTTCTCTTTCTAAACTTGAGTGCGGTCCCAAAGAAATCAACTCCACGGAAATTAGCCTAGATTAGCTATTTTCAGCGAATTGAACTGAAACGCGACGAAAAGTTGGAAAAAACGCCAATTCATTTTAAAAGTGACGTTTTCGCTGCCGTCACCTTTGTCAATGCTAAGAAGTCCCTAGTTTCAACCGTTGTGTCGGCTTTGTGTTGAACATGTCGAAGAAGTGGCAAGGGAATCTGCACTCTTTGTTCACGTTGAAAGACCTGAGCAGATCTCTGTTGACATCACAGAAGAAGTTGAGGCTTCATCCGAGCGTTAAATCTCCCTGATGCTGATGTTGATGATAATGAGGATTATGATGAAGGCTTTGAAGATGAAGACTATGACCGATTGCTATGTTTAATGAATTGACGTTTAAGTGACCAGGGGCCCGTTTCTCGAAAGTCCCGGTAACTTTTCGGGCCCGAAATCAAATATTCAAATGGCAATAAAAAGAATAAGAGCGCGGCTCCTGGCAAGCAAACTACTCCATTTTGTTCCTTTAACTGATAGTTTTATCATGTTAGATGCAAAACTATTGAAACCTCTATCTTTAATGGAAACCGAGACAGCTTACCGGGCCCATTAAGTTACTGCGACTTTCGAGAAACGGGCCCCTGGTCTACATTTAGCTTTAGGTATCGAGTATATAAAATAACGCGCGGTCAACGGGAAATGTTTGATCATTGTTCGCAGGTCATGATCACATCCTCTCAGTTCTGCTTCCAAGAAGTTATATATAAAAGGGAAGTTAGCCTTATCATACTTTTATTTTTCAACAAACCATAGTAACCTTATGTTTATGATGCTTTTTCGTACATTCATTGTCCGCTTGTCGTCTTTCCGCTTCTCCGTGGGTTAATTCATTTGTAATATTAGTTTTACTTTTGTTTTCGGTAAGTTCTTGTTTCATTCTTACGTATAACTAAATGAAGATAAAACAATTGATTTTACAGCGCATGTTAATTCATTTGCACCATATAAGAATCGATTGTCCTTTCCACATTTTTAACATTTGTAAAGTATCGTTGTGATTTAACACTTCACTGGCCAGCATGCGCATTATCTGCGTGTGAAGATAAGACTGCGTGGATAACGTGACTGGTGCCTACCTGTCATTTTTTTAAGACCCGGTGCTTACATGTATATTCCCATTTGGCGGCCACTAAAAAGACCCTCTAACGAGCCTTTACGCAAAGTAAAAACTTATTATTTTAGTGTCTCAGAATGTTGTAGTTTTCTTTAATAAAAACGTGATCATCATAAACCTGCTAATGATAGCTGTACTCTTGATGAAGATTGCTTTTTTGGGGCGGGAATACCTTTTGGAAAACGGTAGAAGTTGCACTTCAAAAACTTCTTGGGGGTGGGCGGGTCTCCATGACTGCTTGTGACTTCCCCGGCTACTAACAACAAATACCCGGCAACTTGAAATCTTAGTGACAACCCTGCTACAAGTTGAATACTTTCATAAACAATAGCTCTTCACTAATTTACGAGCAAGAATGTCCGTTTAGTGCATGTGCATAATTTTTATAAATATATATATGTCAAATCTGAAAAGGTTGGTGTTTCAAGCCTTGATCTACTCAGCCACATGCTTCTGTACACCCAGTATAAAACTCATAGTGATGATCATGACAACTTCCAGTGGAAAGCAGCTTCGCATCCAACAGAAGTAGAAGAAGTTTTTGCACTAGATTTATCCTTCTAGGGGACAGTCTACGTGAAAATAAACAAAAGAGGACAAGCCATTTACCTTCATCAAATTTTGTTGAAGACATGATTGGTTGGTTAAAAAAAAACCTTTTTGACATATAATTCTAACTGTAGTCATACTCGTGATTTCATGGTTGTCTAATTTGCTTGATGAAGTGTATGATTACTAACCAATCTGGCCTTGACTCAGCCCTATAGCATTAGTACTTACAGGTATTTACTGATTAGTATCAATATAAAATGATGATAATCACCTGGTTATTGATCCTGGACTTCTCTACTAATGAATACAATACATTCAACACACTGTGAACGTTCCAGATCTGAAAGAAAGAAGCTAAATGATAAGGACCACAGTAGAGGAGCTACATGTACATTGTACATAGGGATGTACTGACACTGTATGCAGGAAAAAGCGTTAACCATCCCCTTTCACACATGGAGTCATTTAACATTTCCTCTTTAAGTGTGGAAAGTCTGTGGTTAAAGGCGAAGCCCAAAAACTCCAATAGGATAAGCCATCTTTTTCTTGTCTTGTTGTTGTTTATGTTTTTTTGCTGTTGTTTGTTGGTTTGGGTTTTTTTACCTTGGTGTTGTTTCGGAGTGTTCCAACTTCATCTTCTCCTTTTTTTAGGAGCTTTGATCGATATTGACTGAATGCCTGGAACTAAAATGGTAAGACATAGTACTCACATGGCATTGAGAAATTGCTGACAGTACAAAATTATATATGTAAAAAGTAATAAATTGAATAAAATCCCATTTTTGTATACAAGTGCTACAAAACAGAGGGAAGCTACACAAATACTGCAAAGCCATCTCAAAACAAAGACTTGTTTGACCCCTAACAATAAATTACATTAACAACTAGACCATTGTGGTATGGCAAATGGAGGCCTGGGATATCAGGGAGCCTCCGGTGCGACCAGCAGCACCCATGAGACGGTAAACTGAGCTGATGGTTGGCAATTCCCACAACCAAGCCATGGCTTCCACAGAGGATTACACACTATGTAAAACAAGGATTACAGCGTGACTAGTGTACCAGGGGCCACTTAGACAAAGTTGACCGATCGGATTACAGGAAAACAACAAGTTTGCTACCAGTTCATTAAATTACATTCCTGTTTGTTGAAAATCTTTTGAATAAAAGACTATTTTTTTCAAAGGCTAACCTGATAAATAAACTCATCAATAATGTCCCACAGCCACTGATTTGGGAGACTAAGGGGAACTGGCTCATCTGTGTCTGAAAAAAAAAGATAAAATATATTTCTCTCATCATCTCATCAGCCAAGTAACAAGGCCCACTCCATTCAGCTCAATATTTTAGAAATAAAATTCTTCGGTTAGAAATCAGCAAATAAAACAGACCATTTCCATTCAGTCTGACTGGAATATTTGGGACCTCCTTTTAAGGTGGTCCACTTTGACTGGTCTGGTCATTTTGGGCAGTTGCACCGAAATATCCCTTTCCATTCGACAAAATTGTTGTTTCAATCTGTGCAACCGGAATGCACCATTCCACTGGGCACGTGGAATTTCCAAAATTTCAGACAAGAATTTTTGTTGAATGGAAAGCGGCCCATAATATCTTAACACCCAGATGTTCTGAGAAAATGTATGTAGTATGGGTTTTTGTCAATTACTGGAAAATAAAAGTGATACCACCTTTGCAGTATTTATGCCGGCAGTTCTAACTAGATGATAATACTGGGCTTTTTGTAACAACCAGGCTTAAGACAAAAGCACAAATAAAATTAAAGTGATTCCAAACAAAACTAGAAATAAATCGCAGTAGAGGAACTCTATTTTGTGATTCTTGGGACAAACAATTATCCCTTGAGAAATTGTAAACAAAACTTATGCAAAATTTTTTAGGGAAGACAAATAGCAGGTTGGGGAACGTGAAAGTAGTAGATCATGCATGTAGTTACTGACAAGTTGACCAACTGACAAAACTTACTCAGTATATAGTTGAACAAGTCACAGTAGTTAAAATATGATTCAAAGCGATGTTCCAGTGTAGGCTGAAATAAAAAAATGTCATTTTTTGGTTAGTTTGTTACAATCATTCCAGCCTAACTGAAAAGCCCATTGGGGAGGCTCAATTATATATTAAGCATAAATTTATGTAATAAAGAACATTATTTTTAAATGCATGCTGTACTAAGTCTTTAGAAGGGAGCTGGAGCGAGCTCTGCTGGGTACACTGTACATTAACCCATTTTCTCCTGGCATGAATTTTGCCCAAAATCATGTTTTGAAGCTACAATAGCAAGGCTGTTTTCTGGTCACAGTCTAGCTACTTACCACAAAGCTGTTCACAGGTCATACACGTCATGGCCTTCTGATCCAGATGTAATATACAAGACTAGCGTGCAAAGTTGGGGCATGCATGGAAAGCAAAATTTTGAGAGAGTTTTGGGGTTTAAAAGTGACACAGCAGTCTTGACTTTTACTTTTCGCTTTCTCTCCTCCCCTCTCCTTTTGCTTCTAGTGCCTCATTTTTTTTTCTGCTGCTAAGCATTTAGTAAGCTTCATTTTGGTGGGAAAAGTCTTTTGGAAAGCTTTTAGGATGGATTAGATAAAAGGAAAGGTAGGTGGGTGGTGGAAAAAGATTTTCAAAGGAGTTTTCAGGTCAACATTACATGTTTTTTTTTGCCTTTTTCTCTGGCCTCCTTGAAACGTGTTCATTCTGGTATGGTTTGAAAGATCTTTTTACCCTGCACACATTAGCTGATAAAGTTGTCATTGATCGTTAAAACTAATGATGTCACAAGCAGTGGAAGGGACATGGATCTGCACGGGCATTTACAAGCAGTTTAGGGGCAAATGAGTTAAGTAATCTTGAATAGCGAGTTCAAGCAGCAATGTTTTTGAGCGGTGCACACCACCGAGAAGTGGACTTTCTGCACTCTTGAGTCGTGATTTTGAACAAATGTTTGGACCAAATTAATGGTCTCTATAAGGGTAAAGACACTTAGCAATACACATTTGGCAGCATTAAGGCATATTAAAATAGAAAAAGGCTTCCTTCCAGTTTACATGCATCACTCAACCCTAATACCTACTAAATTTGTTAGGTATCTTGTGTACCTACAGTGTATAATGTTATAGGTCCTAGTTAATTTAGGTTAAAATTTTTAATAAGCAAAGCTATTATAACTTAATTTCCATGCTAATCTAATATCATTGGGTTGGGAACAGGGTTATCTAGTGATTGGTACCTCAGACACATTTACTAGATTATTAGCAAAGGCATTCATTACCTTCAACTTGTTGTAGATATGTCTGTAGTATAATTCTTTGTAAAGAATTAAGAACACAGGGTCTGGTATAAAAACAATAACCATCATTTTAGTTAAATTGAAAGTAAATATTTCTAATTTCAAACCAAACACACTACACAGTATAAAACTATAGCTGAAAACTGCAAAATACAAGAAGACAGTGCAAAATCACAATGATAGAAGTGGATTAAACTTTATCAAATTTGACTGTTAAAAGAGTGAAGTTTACCTCCATTCACAATAGAGGCAACATATTCAGCATCAGGCCATGGAGACTTTTCATAATGCCTTTCAGTTAATTTGTTGAAGCTACATTGATTAAATTGAAAAGCAAAGTAATAAAAGCAATGAGCAATGAGGATATTTCTGACATAGAAGGATCAACAGGGGAGGAAGACAGACTGACTAAACCACAAATGAACTGAATGAGAATGAGCTGGGCTGTTGTTACTATCATGACACTTAATCACCAGAGGCTTCATAGAAGGGAGGCTTTATAACCTTTATTCTGCATATAACCATTTTTGAATGTTAGGGCAAATCATCACTGCAAACTTTAATGTGCGTAAATCAAAACAGTTAAAATCAGATTAGGGAGTGAATAACAGAAATGTATCAAAGCCAGCTCCAAGTTTTAATAGTTTTGGTCATCATGGTGAGTAGAACACAAATTTGGTGACTAAAATTGCAGTGAAAGTTGCCAAATTGGTGACCTGTGTTTTATGGTAAAAAAAAAAAAAATGCAACCAAGCATTTAATTTTGACTTTGGACCAACTCAATCTAGCCAAACCATGGCAATCTGTAGTTTCTCCCTACACCAAGGCAAGACAGAAAGCCAAAAAAATCTAGAACAGCGACTTATCCTTCGAATCAGTATTCTATATCATAACGTAATCAATGAACGCTTTTAATTCAACCAATCTATCTATGTTTTTATGTTACATGTACTATGTTCACACCAACAGCATTGCTCCATCATTCGATATATAATCCACACATAACCAACTATCCCTTGATTCACTCTGACAAAGGGTTTGCACTGTATTATATAAAACATCAGGGCCGGGTTGTTCGAAGCTGGGTTAAGATAACCCAGGGTTAATGCGAAATTTGATCTCAAGTATGAGAGCTTAAAAAGCAAATTCAGTTTAATTCACTTTACCTACAATCTGATGATTGGATACTCTAGAGAGAATAGAGAAAATTATCTGAGAAAGTGTTTTTTGATAAAAAGAAGAAGAAACCCATGTTAATATTTAACCCCAGGTTAGCACTAACCGTCATTCGAACAACTGGGCCCAGTTTTTTAATTTTTTTACTGTAGTTATTGACTTAATCTGATAACTCCAAAATTTTTGTACAAGTTTTATCAGTTTGATTCAGTTACATGTACGTTTCTTATACATGAACTATCCTGTCATCCCTATCATGATCACAATAAATAAAAGGGGGTGAAAGCTTTATTAGAAGCTGGCAGGGCTTTTATAGGTTTTCACACCAGTTGTATAACTTACCCTGTTTCGTAAATGGACTGAATTTCATAAACATTCTGGTGAAAACAAAATATTAAAATATGAGTTGTGTGTGATAATTTTTCTGTACATATGCAGCCGCAGTGAGTAACTTAATGGGCAAGCAAAGCACTGCAGTTGTAATTGAAATGACTTTTTTAACAATAAGAGCCTAAGTTAATTGTTGATTGATAAACAGTCCATGTTTTAAAGCAGACATAGAGGATATTACTTGGCCGTGCAGAGATATAAAATTTCTCTTCTACTGATGAAAAATAAATGTTCAACACAAGAAGAGAAATTTTGTATCTCCAAGCACCCATTTAATGTTCTATTTACTATATAAAAACCATTGAAATCTCATGAATCCATTTCACTTTTAAAATACTGAAAAATTCCGAAAATACGCTCCGGGGCTTACATTTTTCAAAGGCCCTTTTGAGGGGCTTATTTTTGGAGGGGCTTATATTCGGAGGGGGTTATATATTTGCATTTCAAAATCAATTGGGCTAGCCTTACAGTTGGAAGGAAATTTACCGTTTTTGCTTTGTTTTACTTTGTATTAATTTTGAGGGCAATTTCCAAGTACACGTCCCTGGGGGGCTTATTTTTGGAGGGGCAATTTAACTGAGAGTTTTTTGCATTACAAGTTTGGGGGGCTTATATTTGGAGGGGCTTATACATGGAAGGGATTAATTTTGGAATTTTATGGTATTTCTTCGCTGTAAAAGGCACGATTTATTTAGCCAGTGTACACCTGTCAAGCAGGGTATGATTTATCATGTAGCCCTAGCAATGGCACTTGTTGGTGTACAATATACATTGTATAATTTGTTTTGTGAAGTGAATTAAGGTAAGGTCAGTCTTTTTATAAATTTACCATGAAGTAAACCTTTTCTATCTGATAATTACATGTACCTGCTCAGTGACATGTTGGTGAAAGAAATGAATGAATCGCCTGATCTCTTCAGGAACACTGTACGTATAAGTGGGTGTTTCTGGAGCAGTATCATACATCTGACCTGAAAAAAAAAGAGGTTTACAAAATGAACTTCACAATCATTAAATTTAAAAAAAACTGGTGAATAGAGAAGAGGATGTCACATTCTGCAGCTTTATAAATGCCACTTAGAGGTTTGCTAAATCTATGTCTGTAAGTACGCTAAACACACAACAAACACTATGGCATTAATCAATGTCTGCTATCAACCCACAATTACAGCTTGAATTGTCAGGCAGTCCTGGAATAACAACACTCGCAAGCAGTTTATAAAAAAAAGAAAAGAAAATTCCTTGTTTGCTGCACTTTATTCTACAATACAAGTTTTTGAGCATACGAGACAATATTTTTGTCACAATTGGCTATTACTTCAAACTAAAATGTTTTCATCACTTTTGCCAGTCAGATACCTGCCATGTACTGTGTACCATTGCTTTAAAGTGTATATGACACAAATTTCTTTATTTGTCTTTTTTAATTCTTAAATATATGTAAAATTTGTACATGTATCCAAGATTTCAAACAAATAACAGCGAAAAAAAATACTGATAAGCTGTGTGACACTTTAGAAAGTAAGTACGAGAATGTTCAATAAAAAATTAAAGTAGTGATGAAGAAAACTACTGAGACAACGTTTTGGCAAGCACCTTTGAAGCATCAAGAAGAACTTGCTGGGTTTCCCTTTCGTGGAACATTGTAACATGGCTGGTCACTCAATCAACAATGTTCTTGATCACGGAATTATGCTCAGCAGGGAAAACACACAAAGGAGGCACCTTGAGATGCGCCTGACTGTTCAACTTGGAACCAGTCATCTGTGCCGCTTGTCTCTAACTTGCATTTCCTCTAGGCCACGCAGACTACAAATTTTGCTGAGTGTTCATTTTTATCTTTCATGGCGTACGCAAACCTTGCAAGGACTAATGTACTTGTAACTCTGCTGTTGAAGGGTCAGGCCCGAAACATTTGGAAAGAAACTCCAACTACAACCCAACACTTTTGTTCATCATTACCACTGAAGGTGTCAATTGGGCATCAGATATCAGAGAATTCTCTGTCAACTATGCAGAATTCTCTGGCAAATGTTCAGTAACCTCTGACTATTTTTTTTATTCAGAAATGGGGCCTCTATCATGATATTCTCCTTTAACGTTACACCTTTCTCCTGCCACTAGAATTCTTGGTGAAAACCCTGTAATATTTTTTATGGAACATTATCCAAGATTTCAACTTGTTAAAAATCTTGTAAAACCTTTTTTTGTCTTCAAAACACACAAATTTGCCTTTAAAAACGTCAGTCAAATTGGGTGACCAAATTTATAAGTATAATGTAGAATGATTTACAAGAATGTCAAGAATGTATCTAATAATTTAAAAGGTGGTGGCAGCTTATTACAAAGGATTGTGGTTGTCGACAACTCCCCAATCATGTGGCTATACCTTTGTTACAGTCGGATAAATGGCTTAATTCCACAAAACACAAAGCAATATAATGACCAGGGCTGAACAAATCAACTGACGTCACATGACGTCATCAACCTTTCTTTGATCCTTTACTCGTTCCCAGTTGCTGGGACATTTGTGAAGGGGAAAAAGCAGTTTTCTGATCGCCAAAGTTCATGAAATTTTTTGGGAGACACATTTAAAACGGTTAGAATTGTTAATTACACTAATCTCAAGACAAAAGTCAGTTTATGCTTTTAAAAAAATTCGTGTCATATACACTTCTAGTAAAAGCTTTATTTTCTTTACCATGAATCGGAGGTTCATATTCTCCACCATATGAAGCCCCATCACG